GGGGGTCTGGATGTGGGGACTCAGGGTGGTGCAGGGGGTGGGACTCATCAGGGTGGGGGTTTGAGTGTAGGGAGCTCAGTGGGGGGTGGTCTGGGTGCAGGGGGCTCCAGATGCAGGGGTTGAGGTTCAGTGGGGTAGGGTTTGGGTATGGAGGACTGGGGGGTTCTGGGTGTACAGGGCAAGGCTTGGCAGGGGTGTCTGGGAGGTCTTGATGCATGGGGGTTGGGCAGATGGGGGAGCAGCTCCCTGTATAGTGACCCCTCCCCCTGCAGTTGAGCGGCGATGGGGACAGGAAGCAGGGGAGGATGCAGAGCTTCCTGCAGCTGAGGGAAGTTTCTGGGATGGGTCTGACACAGCCCCAGCCACTCCTTGCAGGGGAAGAGGAAGTCCCATCCTCTCCTGCCTCCAGCCCAGCCCAGACTAGCAGCTGATCCCAGCTCAGGGTAGGAGCCACTGGCTGGGGTGTCCCCAGCCCTGCAGTGATTTACCTCTCCACCAGCTGCTCCAGGTGCCTGAAACGATGTACCTGCGCAGCTAGGGAGTGGTGTGTGACTGCTCTTGCAGCTTCCCAATCCGAAAGTCATTTTTCTGTGGGGAAGCAAAGAAATCTGCAGGGGGCATGAATTCTGCACACAGTGACGCAGAATTCCCCCAGGAGTACTTTTATGCCTCTTTCCAGGTTGGTGACATAAGGATTCTTCCAAATCTGGCATGGTAGTTCCTTCAGACCACCAGAGGGACAAAGAGCCTCCAGTTCTCCCACCTCTCTGTGGTGAGCAAAGGGAGACCCTGCCACTTCCCCTCCACTAGACAGAACGGCCCTGTCAGTGCTCTCTCTTCTCCTGGTACTACACAGAGGGGTGTGTGGGTGAGGTGGGAGCATAAGGGATGTCCCCCTAACACAAGCCATCTCCTTCCCCACTCCCCCAGTGCTTGGCTGATTCCAGGGCCACTTGGGGACATGGACTCCCTTTGAGTCCTTCACCCTGTTCCCCCTGCCACATCTCATCATACAAGGGGGCACAGGGCCACTTCAACGTTTGACGCCAACATCATGGCAACACAACCACCATAAGTGGTGAGTTCCTCCTCCTCACTCGATCCATCGTAACCATTGCCCACAAGGGGCCAGGAGCTCCGTGACCAGGTATCCGTGAAACTCCTCGTCGCCACCTTTAGGCAGCCAGCGCTCCCCCCACTCAGGACTCACCATCACACGGATTCACAGCCACTGCTGCCGTGCTGCCCGCCAGGCACCCGGACAGGAAGGACACGTAGAATGGGGCCTTGACGTCAGGGCTCTTCTGGCCCAGCTTGTTCAGGTTCGCAAACAACGGGAAGTAAACGATGGAAAACGGGACGTCTCTGTAATGGAGGGATGGGGAGAAGAGTGATCAGCAAAGCCGCACCCCCAGCCCAAGCAGCCAGTCACGGCAGGAAGGGCTGAAAGCTTTAGGGTCAACAATGGTTCCAGGCCAGGCCTCTTTCCCAGCTACTGGAATGTCATGCAAGGGGGTTTGAGAAAGACATTCCCTCTGCAGTGTCTATATCCCACAGAGAAGAGTCAGAGGGCAGATTCTCAGCAGGTATAATTCAGCACAGCTCTGCCGGAGCCAAGGGAGCTTTGCCTATTTACTCCAGCTGAGGATCTGGCCCAGCATGTCCAGAGTTCTAAAAGAGTTAAAAGTCCCTCCTCCTCCGTCAGTCCCATTGGGTGTTACCACCAATAATTAGTGAGTCCGTCACCTGAGAAGATAAGAGCTATGTCAGAGACACTCTCTACACTGGCTTCCTATGGATCAAATCAAGCTCAAGGTCTCGGTCCTTATCTTCAAGGCACTCCATGGATGGGGCCCAGGATAGCCAAAAGGTCACCTAAGGC